ATATATTATGTGAAAAAAGGAATACTGCAAGAGAGGTCCACTTCAAAAAGTCCACATTTCTTATTTATTTAGGTAGCTGAAAATTTTACATAAATTAAAACAAATGCCAGTTTCATGATGCACACATCTCACTCTTAATTATCTCAGTGTGGCCCCAACACTTCTGGAGATTCTCGCATTTAGCAACTGCCTTTAATATTTTTAAACACAGCACTAAGAAAGCAGAAGAGAGTCAGCAAAGCTACAGAACCACAACTACAGTTTCAGACCAGCTTTCAGATGACATATTAAAGTCTTGCTCTTGCTAATGCAGACACTGGCTCGTTCAAAGTGGGGTTCAATATAATCATCTATAAATCAGTATTTGCTTTATAAAATGTAATGGAAAATGCTAATAAGCTTCACTTGTGAAATGAAATTGGATTATATCCTATCTATTTTAACTTGATTTGGTATAGTGTTCCTTCTTCAGAAGCCAGCAGCCTCATTTTCTTTTTTCCCCTCCTCTCTTAGAATTGAGGCAGGCAAATGCACCACGGATTCTCAGACCACCATTTTTAAAAGGAAAATTATGGGGGGACAGACATAAATTAAGTAGAAAATGTAGATTATGCAACATGAAGCAGTATAAAGAAAAAAAAACCCTGTAAAGTCATTAGAGTTATAATTTATGTGCTGTAAGGCAGATAGCAAGCTGGTTGTTTATGTATGGTTGGAAGTTGCCCAGCCAAGAAACTTGAAATTCACAAAGTAATTTAAACCTGGTAATTTTCTTGTACATGCTTGGATGACTGAACAACCACTATATGCAGTGAACATCCATATTCAAAATTATGCTTATAGCCACCGTAACCGCTCAGGGCTCATTGATACATTCTATTAACTGGGCACAATAAAACCTTGATTTATTCTATGGTTATCAGGTCTGCAGTAAAGAACGTTCCTTTTAATAACAGGGAAACGGTATTAAAAATTGTCAGACGCAGCGGTTAAGCGATCGTATTCATGCAAATGTAGTGCTGTACCATCATTGTCCTGTGTGCTGGAAATCATACATCAAGGTGTCGCTGTATGGGACACAGTGGAGGGACACAGAGGTGAAACAGGGATTACTCAGACTCTAAGACGAAGCGATGCTTCTGGCAGCACACAACTGTCCATACCCCACCGGATCATAAGGGTGCAAGAGCGGCAGGTGAAGCATAAGCCACACACAGTACTTCCAAGAGAATTTTCTGTGGTAAGCACTACAGGTGGGAAAGGCGATAGACATTTTGTGAAATTAGAAGATTAAAGGAGGGGAGCTTGGTGTGCTGGTCGTGACTTCAGCAACACTTGTTGAGAAACAGAGTCGCGAGTAAGTGGAATTAAACACGTGGTGGAGGTACCTGGCAGATGGGCACAACATCCTTGCACCAGAACTACGATCACAGAATAATACCGGGGTGGGTGAGGAGCAGCAGAGACTGCAGAGCTGGTGCTGAGCTGGCATGGCAGGACATTAGCAGGAGAATTAATTAAATTCACAAAACCAAAGAAAATAAAGGAATGCAGTGGGTTTTTTTTTGGGGGTGGAGGGAGAAAGCCTTGCTCTTTATCAATTTGATAGACAAATGAACAGATATCTTAAAAGAAGACACAGGACCAAAGAACATTTGGCTAAGGAATCTCTGCTCAACCCAAGGTAACAAAAGAAGCTGAAGGCTTCCTCTCCTCTTCTGGATTTCTTTCATTAAGATCGTTCTAGATTTAAACTTGAAAACAGATTTGATACAAACTTCTTGTAAATAGTGACTAATAGGCAAACCACAGCTCTCCTAAATGAAATATTTAGCTTTTACTGATGGAAAGCTGCCCTGTGAGGCCAGCTCAACAGACAAATGGGCATCATTTTTCTGGTTTGATGGTGCATACAACATCCCTTTTTGAATGGGGCTGCCCATGCCAAGGTGCTGGGAAGCAAAGCTCAGCCCAGGAAGCATCGGCCACCACAAACCACATGCCCACGGGGCTGATAGCAACAGGATGAGCTCTCCCTGCATCGGCCACCTCTGGTGCAACCTTCTCCTGAACGCCACAAGCCATTTTTCTGCCTGGTCAGAACAGATGATCATCATCAGCAGGGAGCAGATGTTTGGAGTGCTTTTGCCTTGCGCTTAACTGGCTAGGGGACAACATACAAATCCAAACAGAAGTGCATTAGCAATTAGCTGACTACAACAAATCATTCACATATACAAACTGTTTCATGTGGTAGCCAGATCCTAGTTTTGCATTGCTTCAATTTTATTTCTGCTCCCCCCTCCATTTTCTTCTTTAGTTGTAAAAATATTAAAAACTACATACTCTGCATGTCCCCAGTAGAGACTTAGAAGTTTGCCCATATCTGGCACAATGCCACATGTATCCACACTATGGCCAAGGACACTTCCAGATTAGCCCAGGTAGCTGAATTGGGACAAAGATCAGCTTGGACAGTTTATTCAAGTATTTACTGAGCTTGTTGGTTGATTTAATATTCCATGACATGTTTCTCGATGCAAGTAGAGGTACCCTTACACTGCGTGCTGCAGCCAGACCTGAGCACCTCTTGCTTGTGATATGCACCAAGGAGGAATATGACCACCCAAGCCTGCACATCCTTTGACACATACACACAGTTTCTCCCATTACCCACTTGGCTCAGTGTTCAGGGAGAGCAAATCCCATCCCACCTGCATCCCAGTCTCTGCTGCTGGCCACATGGGAGTTGCTGGTCCTGCTCCCAGCTGCTGCAGTGAGACCTTTGCTTGCCAATGCAGACCTGCAGCAGTGGCTGGTGGAGGAAAACCACCACTGCTCAGCTCTACCTTCCCAACACTGTCAGAGCTGATTTTTCACACCCAAAGACATCTGACAGTCACATCAAAACTCACATTAAGAAAATGGTGAACCGAAGTCACAAATTGTTCCACCTTTGACACAAACTGGTGTGCAGAGTCACCAACTGGTGCATCAGTTGTGCATTGCATTTAAGCAATTAAGTTTTGGCTTTGGCCAGGTAAACTGATGCATTTATCTAGGACTCTTGCAAGTCTAGATCCTGGCTCAGAAGGCAAGATTCCAGGAGTTCACCACCTCCTCTGTGTTTGGTTTTTTTGGGGTTTTTTTTGTTTTGTTTTTTAAAACACTCAAGCACCAAAACAACCACTAAACAAGCTTACCAACTTTTCCCTTTCTGTGAACACTTAGAAAGCTCCCGAGACAGTTTCACCCTTATTAAAATCCCCATGATATGAAATAACACAGACGCAATATTTGTTTTGCTAAAACTAGACTGAACTCACCATTCCTTCTTGTCCCTACTGCAAGTTATTTATCTAACAACACAAAACATTTGAGTATAGCTTGCATGAAAGGTTTCACCCCAAAACACACAGGGCACACCTATGGAAGTATCTGCACAACTTCTCTTATTGACAATCCTCCAGTAACAACATACTGCACAAAAAATAATGGTCACTTGTTCCATAGGACACCATCCACTGTGTTTTTTCCTCCCACATAGGCCCTAGTTTTTAGGGCACTGCCTGCTTTTGGGAATTCAGCAAAACTGATGTAGGTGGAAACACATCAATGAGGGCAGAGCATCAGTGGGAATGGTGATCGATTCTGCATGAGCCTCCTTGAGCTGCTCTGTAGGTGAAGTCTGTCCTTGTGACTTGTAAAGCAAGGACTGATGGTCACAGCACATTATACCAGAGCCTCAGTGTAGAAGCTTCAGCAAGCAGAGGGAAAGCAGGATCTGCATCCAGCATCACCAGCCCATATGACCAAGCGGTACAGAAAGCCGCCTGTGAGACCCCATGCATGATCAAGCTATTCTATAAGCATTAATGCACTGACCCACCACATTCCAGGACATCATGAACTACAAGTACTCTGATTTCATGTAAGTGAGGAGAGTCCAGTCAGCTCTTGAATGTGGGAACACGCCATAGACACAGGGTAGCACGGCTAGCCCCATCAGTGATCCACCCACAACCACCCACCTCCCCACGCTCCCACCTCCAGCTCTGCGGTGACTGGGGGCAAAGGGCTTTGCTACCTACAGCATACCAATAGGGACAAGATCTGTGGAGGGAGACACAAAGCTGAGATCTCAAGAAACTGTGGTCAATAAAGATGCCACAGCAGTTTTCAAGCCACAAACTGTTACAAATTACAAGCTGGGTAATTGCACTTAACCTCAGAAAATTCACAGTTAAAACTAATTAGAGTAATTATTCCCATTTTCTTTCCATTTCTTTTTTTACATGTTGGAGGAAAAAAAGAACACAGTTCTAAATGGTTCATGTCATACCAAGCGCTAAACCAAATTCAGTCCCAAGTCAAAAAACACCTCCTCAGTGTGAAAATCCCAGAAGGTCAGACTGACAGGCAGCAGGGACAGGTAACAGGCTACTTTGGTGGTTCCTGGTGTTACCCACCATCCATGGAGACTGCCACGGCAGAACCACACTGCATCAAAGTCCTCACAAAATAACTCGCTGCCTCTGCTGGGGCTACTTCACATTTCCATAGAGATCGATCACCATCTAGTCAAAAGGCATTTGTCTCCTTATATTATTGCACAACTGTGGCAAATTAAATCAGAAACACTTCAGCCCAACAACCACAGCAGTCCTCAGAAGTTACTCAGATAATTACTCAAAAAATTCCTTCAAAAACTGAGTCTCAGCACCACAGCTCAGTGAAAGCAGCTGCTACAGAGCCCGTGACAGCACAGCAGCACTGTCCCCTGGCAGACAAAAGGAGAATTTGAACCTTAATCTCATTTTCCCTTCCTTTGGTAAGACTAACTCATACATCAAATAGCACAGGTCGCCTTGCTACTGTAATACAAAACCCAAACACACTACAGTTCCACCACAAGCAGCAGTTCTCTGCATTAGACTTTTCTTCTCAGCCGCATCCCTCTTCTCCATTGGATTTAATGATTAAAAAACAACACAACTTACAGTTTACTGTGACTTTTACTTTTTTCACATCTGGGACTGAGACATCATTTTCTGCACTGCATTCATATTCCCCAGCCTGGTCTCTTGTAATTCCATAGATGTCCAGGTACTGTCCGCTCTCAAATGGTTTTGCTGAAAGGAAATAACAAAAGAAAGAAATTACTGGAAGCTGAGCACAAAACACCTCAAGCTTCATCAACTCCTCAAGAGCAGCTAGTAGCTTTTGCTGGGTGCAGCTTTCACTTGGAAACCCCAACTCCAAGCAGGTCTCATATCCCCCTTGAGCTCCTTGGGTTAGCCAAGTGTCCTCTCCTGACTGTGCCCACCACACAGTCAAGCTCTGCAGTCTCCAGACCCATGAGAGCAATTTGCTAATGCAGCTCTGATGGGCTTCACAGAATGTAAGTCAGGCTCCCCCAGTCAAATCCTTGCCTTAAGAGTTTTGGCATCCATTAGGGATCATGGTTTGCACCTGGGTGGACATCTACCCCCTATGGCAATCAGAAGCAAAGCCAGCAACTGGGGCAAACTGAAGGAACAAACAGCCCAGCCCTGGAGCAGCTGATCCACCCCTGCTGCTGGTGACCCCAGCATCAGCTTCCCATCACAGGTGCCCTCACTTTTTAACAACCATTTGATCTTGTAGCTATACATCAATCAGCTGGATATATATAAGGATGATAAGCTTTATTAGCTAGAGGGCTCAGGCCCCCTGCACGGTTCCCAAAGCCAGGTGTGTCCTGGAGGGAACCAGCAGGTGATCACCTCTAACAGGTACCTATGGGTGCAAAATGAGTGGGCCATCCCATGTCCTATTTCCAGGGAAAAAGCCCTTTCAGGCTTGCTCATCACATCACTCAGTGCTAACATGTTGTACCCTAATAAACATTCTGTCATACTAATTAAAAATTAGATAATAGCTCTCCTCTCCCAAAGGATCCAAACCCAAGGAATAAAATCCTCAGTGTTTGCCTTGTTACACAGAAATAAGGATAACCTGTGTGAGTGCAACTGAAAATCGAGGTCTATCCAATGTAAAACAATACGAACGCCAAACTGAAATATGTAACTCCTTGGTATGTTGTATCTGAAACCATTCGTTATCTTAGAGAGCAAGAACAGTTATATGATCCAAAAACTAATTTACGTCCACCTGACATAGAGTCATAGCATACACAGACATTTTTGTAGTCTTCTAAATCCCAGCATCTCCCAGCTTTTCCCTACCATGGTTCCTGCCTTGCAGGGAGCACTTTGATATCCATCAGACAAAAACTGCTGCCTGGTTCAAAGCTCATCTTTCTCTGTCTTTTGAGCAGCGTGCTGTAAGTGGGGAGCAAATTAATTGTTTTCTATTCCTCACAAGGCATTGACCACATAAGAAACCAAAAAATGTTAAATATAGTTTTTACCTTAAAACAATATAACATAGCAGTCATGACTACAGATGCTGGACATCATAGGCCTAAAGCTCTTGCTGAAAGTGTTTTCCCAGAGAGACAAGCTTTTAATTGACTGTTAATAACTTTGCAACTTATGGAGCAATGACAAAAATCTGCACTGGGTAGTGAGAACTAAGTAGAAGTATTATGTTCATGTCCATCATCGCAATGAATTTCATTTGCTTATCTGTTCACAGATTAATGTTTTAAAGCGTGCAAGGTTCAAAACATCAATTATTACAATGCATCGCTTGGCAAGATGGCACTCATTAATAAGCACAATATACCATGTCTATCGCAGGAAAGAGCCCAAGTAAGCACTGGTTATGTAAAGTAGAAAGATAAGATTGAAATTGTAAAATTATTGTGAATTGAACTGAACATTCATAAAATGCAATGAAATAATTTATGGGATATGAGAAATTGCATGAGAATGTTTTTTTTTCTCTTCCATGATGTTCATAGGAATAAATTATGAAAAAACCCCTTCCACAAACAAACCAGCTGTTACTGTTCACATCGTGGCTGTCGTCCTGCTCCACTTTGGCCAGGTTGAATAAATTTCTAGGAAAATTTTATTTACTTTTGCTTCAAACAGCAAAGAAGGATGAAAAGCCCCTGCCTGCACAGGAGCATCTGCCCAGACTGAAGAGAGACCTTCCAACAAGACTTCTGCTTTGTTTCTAATACCAAGAAAATTCTAAAAAATGCAAAATTCTCTTGTGTGTCAGGTTAAAAATTATTATTAAATTGTGAGATTGTAATGCTCTCCAATGTCAGGACTTCCCTGGATATATGGTATGCACCAAAATATTTTACACTGAACCCTGGGAATAATTTACGACTTATCCTATCCCAATTCCCAACATCAATTTGGAAAAACGAAAAAAATATATCTCGAAGTACCGGGAATTTCATAAAGATAGTTACTTGTGGTTTGGAGTTCAGCTAAACCCAAGCATTTTCTGCTTTAAACTTCTGTTTTAATCTAAACACAACACACCAGGCAATAACTTAGTTTCTTGTCTCCCAGCTTTTGCTTTCTTAACAATTCCTGGATTGTAGCCGTGCTTCTGGCACTCGCTTTGCCACCTGAATGGGATAATGTTCAGCCTCAGCCGGGGTCAATACAGCCGCCACTCCGCACTGACGGAAGTGACAGGTTTATGTATTTGGCACAATTCTGCTACGGTGTAAGCAACATCAGTCCTCAGGTCTGGCGAGCAGTCATATGTCCAGCTGAAAAATATCAACAGGAACAATATCTGCAGGGAAAGCAAACGCGTATTCAGGTGCTGACACCAGCCAGCGTCAGGGTGCTGCTGGGGGCTGAGAGGGCAGCACAACAAATGGCTACAGCTCAAAGGCATCAGCGCTGCTGGGTGGAAACTTAGTGGGAGTTCCCACAATAATTCCTATTGGAATGACTTGCAAAAATGCCCATCAGCACTTTTCATAGCCCTTGTATTTATAGGGATCTTATGCTGAGCTATTAACCTAATTTATGCTGCAAACTATGTGTGCATTTCTTTTATAGTGCTGTAAACCTCATGTATTTTATGCAACTCACACACACATTTGAAAATATTAAAATTAAGTCATTTTTAAACCCTTGTGTCCCCAGAAATTTTGCATCCAGATCACATAAGAAAGCTTTTAGTAAGTACTAGAGATAAATATTTTTCTTAGGGAATACATGAATACCGTGTTTCATCTTTCCTATTTGTCTGCACAGTATTTCATCTTCAGCTTGCTTTTAGTTCGAGATTTCCCATGGCTGTGTGGGAGAACTTAAATCATGTTATGTGAAAGATATATGCATAAGAATATGTAAGCATATTTATGTTACATTGCATGCACATCCAGCTCAGAAAAAGAATATTCATAAGCAGTAGGGAGAAAAAATCATGTATGAAGACACTGGTGAATGAAGATGAGTTTCAGCAGCCAACCCGGTTTTCTCACTGTTTTTTCTGTGATGTATTACAGCCCGGGGCAACCACACCTTCCTCTGTCCTTGTGCAGACCATGTACAATTTATGGACCCTATCAAGATGTCAAGAATATGTCATCTTGGCTTTCCTGGCCATAGAACCAAAAGACTTATCCGATTTAGTATCTGAGAAAAAGAAATCTGGAAAGCTCATTAGCACCAGTCTATCAACCTGAGGTCCTGTCAGCTGAGATCTTTGATCAAAGATGGGGAAAACCTGTTCAAGTAAAAGAAACATAAACATGAGAGTGCCTCATGTCCAAGGCAATTCCTGATGGGTTTTCAGAAGATTTCTTAATGAGACTTACTGATACACGTCATGATATGTAAGTAATCTGCTCTGGATATCTTAGGTTACAGGATCTAGCCAGGAAGGGAAACGCCTGTGAAACTAAGCTTGAATGCCTATTTTCTGCTACTGCCATGTGATATGACACCTGATAAATCATCACACTTGTTATTCCTCAGGAGAGTACACAATTAAAACTGTGTTTTCTTATCATGCATATGGTATCTGGCATCAGGTGTAGCACACGTACAGATTGCCATATGGACCAGTTCTCAAAGGCTTGGACAGATGAGTTTTGCAAGGGTAGCATTTTCCTCCCCTGGTGTTAAACATAAGTCAGTAAGAGGAAAAATCTGGTGCCAGTCCAGAAAAACTCCGAGGACTGCATCTGAGCCAAGGGGCATTCTATTTTTTCCTTATTCACTAGGATATTAAATAACTAAAATACAGCCCCAGTTTATGAACTGTAAAACCTGTTCAGTGCTCAGGACTGACTTTTATGACCCAATCTTTGAGACACCTCATCCTCCAGTGGAGAGTGAAGACCCTTATAGGGCTGGGAGAGTGAGGAGCATGAGGCTGAGCTGATGCCAGTCCTGGTTTATCACAGACTCAGGACAATTTAGGGGTGCACATGAGAGACTGCTTGGAGCCCAGTGAATTGTCTCCAAAAGAGATGGGGGGTGCAAAGACGCCACCATGGGCTTATCCTCACGTCTACTGCCTCAACCATGAGGACTGGGGTCAGTATGAGAGAACAGAAGGTGGTCTCCAGTGACAATGCTACCATGATGCCGTCTAATTATCACCGTATGATTTAAGTAGCCCATAATCCCTAAGGTCCTTCTTGATCTCAGAGGCTGGGAGGAAATACAGGATCAAGGGTGCAAGGAGGCATCTGGATATGAGTTGCTGTTGGATGCTGAGAACAGTATAAAGTCTAAACAATTGGATTCACACAGAAAAATGGTCTGTTGTCATTTCTACCACTCGTTTTGGATTCTGGGTTCAAAGTTACACCAAATGCTGTAATTGGATAGTGTATAGTTCTCTCCAAGGAATGGCAGGTAAGCTGAACAGCTCACTGTCTATTAGGAGAATGGCCCTATCACATTAGGGACCATTTAAACATTGATTGCTTAAGGCCATTTAGCTGTAGAGAAGCCACGCTCCACGTTTGAAAAGAAAAATCAGATAAAACATAGAGAAAAATTTCCAAACCTGACAGATAAATTGAGGGCTGGAAGAGATCTCCCAGCTGACGACATGAAACAAGAAAAGCAAGTAGAGAAATTTTGTAAGGAAGGCATGCTGATAAAAGAAAAGAGATGTGAACATAGATTGACAAAGTTAAAAGTTTCAGAGGTGGAGACAAACAAGGTTACATCTGTATGTGAAATATATAGGT